GGATAAATTGTAAATTCAGATGCGTAAGTTGGCTCGAATACTCTTAACAGTTGAACCAAAAAAAAAAATCAGGAATTGTTCATTTTTTTTTTTTAAAAAAAAAGAGAAAATAAATATTTTTCTTTCCCAAAGTAATTAGATTCTTCTTAAAGGAATTGAAAAGGCCATAGTTTTCTTTTGAGAAAGATGGTGGACCTATACGATTTTGATTTCCCTCATTTCATCATTAACCACCTCATCGTTCAATTGGTCTCTTTTCTTTTCTTTCTTTTTTTTTTATTTTTTATTTTCATGAGCAATTATTTTATTAGAACAAATAAGATAACATTGAAGCTGGGTGTAGCATCATAATCTCAATTATTAAACATTTAGCCTATGGTTTGGTTAAGCAAAGCAAAGACCAAACATCATTTTTCTTTTTTATGACCAAAGAGAGAGAGAGAAAAAGACATGCAACGGCACTTTGTCTAGTAGGACTAATAATTAAGCCGGGCTATTCAGGCTTAATTTGGATATAACTTGATTTGTTTTCTAAATTAGTCGAGTTTGAATAATTTTTTAGACTTGTTTAAAAAACGAGTCTAAAAAAACTCAATTCAAACTCGTAAAACTCGATTTGTTTGTATGAAAACTAGTCGAACTACTCGGGTTTGGCTCATTTTGAGCTTAATTCGGACTTAACTCATTTTTTAAACGACTCGAGTTTAAATAATTTTTTATACTTATTTAAAAAAATAAACTCAACAAGTTCGACGTTATTATCGGCACTACCGTCTAGTGTTATGATTCAAATTTTTGGGTGCGTGAGGTCCCAAAGTTTGATTCTCGAAATCTTGGATGAGTACTGGTGAATTTTTTATTATCAACGCCACCAAGAAAACCACATCATAAATGAAATGCTCTCACCAGCAACACGGCTAAAATGTCAATCCCAAAGAAAAACTTTTGAAACAGATGCATATAATAAGCTTTTTTTTAAAAAAAATTATAAGATTGTTTCATTGTGATTCGAAGGTTATTGGTTCAAATCATAAAAACAGTCTCTCTATTTACAGAGGTAAGACTTCGTACATCTAATCCTTTCCACCCGCAAAACCAAAAGTATTGTTACGTCCTTCTTGAAAAGCCAATAAATGACTGCAATTATATAGAATTTGCGTAGTAAAAAAAGAGAGACAGAAGGGTTTACCTTAGTTAGGCCCGGAATGCCCAATAAAAAAAAAAACAGAGGTCCATTAGATATGTCAGGCGATCCCATGATCTATAGGAAGGGCAAGAAAAGGATTTCACTAGTAAACCCTCCCTGAGGAAGGAAGGAACCGGGCTATCGCACCTAATGGCAGTTGTCTCTAATAGCCAAGGATTCCGAAAATATTCTAACTGACTTGAGACACCACTTAACCATGACAATAAGGACTATATTATCCTAATGTATAAATAGACAAATTTTTGTCTCGTCCAGGATATGTTTGATTGTATTCTCATCAGTTTGTAATTTTTTTTTTTCAAAGCAATACAAATTAAAGGAATAAGAAATTCTATTAGAGTGGCTCTTCAAATTAGTGAACCACTTATCTCCTTGTGTCCTTGCTACTGCTATTATGCACACACACACACCCTCTCACGTAGAGCTCGTTCAACTCTCCAACTCACACTTAGTTTTCTACGCCACCACAATTGAAGATGGAAGAACCTTAACAAATATAATGCCTCTGGTCTATTAGAGTGATTCTCGCTTTGGGTACAAGAGGTCCCGAGTCCAATTCTCGCAATGCCCCCATATAGAGGGATTTAATATATAGAAGCATTTTTAAAATCAAAGCAAAGAAAATCTTACATCTGGAGTGAGTTCTATAACAAAATCCACTAGTTAATCAAAGCGATAATTCTAGCAAATCATATAAGGTCGTACATGTAACTATGCAAAAGCTGCCAAAAATTTCCATAAGATGCCATTAGCTGTGTACCAAAGGACTCAACATGTGGAAAGAGATGTTGAACCAGTCAAATTTATTAGGATTAATCTCACTTTACGCTTGGAAAAATACTTTGATGTTTCATTTGTACCCTCAAACATTAAAAATTTTAATTTACACATTCAATGTTATGCATTGGTAGCAATTTGGATCTGACCCAAATTACCGTTCTGTTTTTCATCATAAATTGAAATACGTGACGTACAAGTGATTCGGACATGAGAATGAGGTATATCCATCACTCTAGATCATCGTTTGCAACTCTTTTGTTTATCAAAAATAAGATTACATTAATCAGACAATGGCTAATCCTATCATATTCTACTCACATGAGGTGCCTGCAGCATATGGATTTACACATAAGCCCATGTTCGAATTAGTTGTAACTCACATGCTTCAATTTATGATGAAAACTGAACGGCAATTTAAACTAAGTCCACATTGCTATCAATTTATGACATTGAGTGTGAAAATTGAAATTTTTAATATTTGAGACTAAAAATTAAAAATGAAGTTTCTTTTGGGGGTGTAAAGTGAGATTAGCCCAACTTATTAAACTAAGTTACTATTTGAAGAACATTCAAATATCAATAGGTGGGCAATTGGTCTAGTGGTATGATTCTCGCTTTGGGTGCGAGAGGTCCCGAGTTCGATTCTCGGAATGACCACTAATTTGTTAACTAGTTATTTTTCTCATCACTACTCCAATTTTTTTTATAATTGTGTGTATTTAATTGAACGTAATTTATTAACCTAATTTATTATTTTTTTTTCTGGACACTATCAGAGTGATCTGATCCAAAGTCAATGAAGAAACTAAAACAACAGATTCTAATTAATAGAGAGATCAGTTTTGTTGAAAAGATTCTGCCTCAATGGATTAAGAAAGAAGCAAAGATTGGTAAGATTCATTATCTAACTTGTGTCTTTAGCAATTAAAAATCCATGAAATATCATGGCTTTGTAGGTCAGCAGGCTGCTGAGATACCCAAGTGCAGGAATGGTGAAATATACTAGGATTGAAATTCGCACTGGTAGTCCAGTGATGTTGGGTTAGACGTAGGGCAAATTATAAATTTGAATGTTTTGAATTCGATTTTTACTGGTGACTCTTGAATTTAACGGATACTTATAATTAGCAATGATTGTAGATATCTAGATGTCTGAAACGAGTCCAAAAATCACTTGGAAAAGTATGTAGTTACCCAAAAAAAAAAAAAAGAATATGATAGGATTGAAGTTACAATGTAAAAGTATATGAGATCCAAACCTCTATATTATATTTTCACTTAATTTTACTTAGTCGTCGATTACCCATCACGTACGAGTGAAGGACCAATTAATAAATAGTGAGTATCATTTAAATCCATGATAAGTAATCGAACATTAAATGAAAGTATAATAGAGAAGATCTCGATAGTTAGTACATGATATACATGCTATTATTGTGACACCCCAAAGTCCGGATGTCTGTAATTATCCGATTGATTATCCATCGACCTGTGTAATACTGGTGGATATCGTGTAATTTGATACTACACCGTTATGCTCCATTTTTTGGGATCCATAACTTAACAAAATTTGGACAGAGTCTCCTTTGTACAAGGAGCTCTACTCAAAACGCAACTTGTACAATATTAACCACACCGGGTCTATCTATCCATTCACAATTGTATAGTCTCGAATACTACCATAATCATTATTAGTACATACATTTATTCGTAAAAGAATAAATGTCACAAAAAAAGTCTCATATACATGCCTTTGTAAATATAAACAAATGTTTGTTACAAAAATTATACAAGGTCAAAAGTAAGTATAAACAAGGGACTACAATGTCAAAATAAAAGCCACAGACCGGCTCTGTCGTCAAAGCGGGCCCATGGCCTCGCCTTCGGTGGAAGCCTGTGCGATACCTGAAAAATGTTCCCATAAAGGGTGAGCTAACGCTCAATAGGGTAACGCCTATAGAGAATACCTCTCAACCTAAATGAATATGGAATGTCACATGCAACAATCATTTGATACATTCATTTAAATATGTCTATTATGATTGAATGTTATAGATCATGTCATGCCATGAGATGAGACTCACGCAAGCAATACCAACCCCGAGCCCCATCCTGAGCTCCCATAACACATGCAATGTCATGCGTATGTATCCGAGCATTCCAAGCCCCCATCATTGGTGTTATGTACACTCAATGCTAATTAATTCATTTTCTTGTGTCTTTGTGGGGAGATGATTTATGGTATTACACCAATGGGACACCAACCATCAACGGATCTTCAGGACATCCCACCTGCGGCTCCGTTTCCGCCGTTACACTTTTTTGGAATTTCACCGCCGGAAAGTGTATAAACCAAGTAAGCGGGTCTTGCACCCGAGGGAGAATCTAGCCCTTCGTGCTGTCCCCAACACATTTATCCATTTAATTTCTCGTGCGACTCAACCGAACCTTGGTGCGACTTTTCCGAGTCCACGTTCAACCACCTACGTGGTGATTGATTTCATACCATGCATACACTCTCACCCATGTCAATGCCCATGAATGTAGTGCAACCCATGCATAATGAAATACAATGTCTATTACATAATGAATACAATATAATGACATTTTAACACGATCTCAAGAATGTTATGTAAGATAATCAACTCAACTAACATATTTGTATTCACCTACGTATTTAATCAAACACCTAAAGAGCACATCAATTTACACAACTAGCATGCTATGACTTGCAACATGACAACATGTTTAAAATAAGCACACAAGT